CACTCTGATGGCAGAAAGTGAGGAGGAACCTTGTAATGAGGGTGAAAGAGGAGAGAGCAAAAATGGTCTGAAGCTGAACATCAAAAAAACGAAGATCATGGCCACCGGTTCCATCACCTCCCGGCAAATACAAGGGGAAGATATGGAGGCACTGACAGAGTTTACCTTCTTGGGCTCCATGATAACTGCAGATGGTGACAGCAGCCCCAAAATTAAAAGACACCTGCTTCTTGGGAGGAAAGTGATGACAAACCTAGACAGCATCTTAAAAAGCAGAGACCTCACCTTGCCAACAAAGTTCTGCAAAGTCAAAGCTATAGTTTTTCAGTAGCCATATATGGAAGTGAGAGCTGGACCATAAAGAAGGCTGACCGCCGAAGAATTGATGCTTTTGAATTGTGGTGCTGGAGGAGACTCTTGAGAGTCCCCTGGACTGCAAGGAGATCAATTGTATCCATTCTGAAGGAAATCAACCCTGAGTGCTCACTGGAAGGACAGATCCTGAAGCTGAGGCTTCAATATTTTAGCCATCTCATGAGAAGACTCCCTGGAAAAGACCCTGATGTTGGGAAAATGTGAAGGCAAGAGGAGAAGGGGACGACAGAGAACGAGATAGTTGGACAGTGTCACCGAAGCTACTAACATGACTTTGACCCAACTTCGGGAGGCAGGGGAAGACAGGAGGGCCTGGAGTGTTCTGGTCCATAGGTCATGAAGAGTCAGATATGACTTAACGACTAAACAACAAAAAACTAGCAAAGTGGTAAAGATTAAAAACCAGGTATTATGGGAATATTCCTCACATCTACCAATGTAATGTTAAACTTTCCTCAAAGCAAAAGATGAAGAAATACAGAATTGGCAAGGATGCTTCTTCAAGCAATTTCTCCACTCAACCCAACTAAAGACTATCATCTGACTTCTACACAACCACTGGTGGCATCTACAGAGGTGTGCCATTCTCACTGAAAGATGAGGAACACAGGACAATTAACTGAAAATCAGAGGTATGATACACAGGGCTTGAAAAATTTAAGAATGTCTCACCAGTCAGTCAAAAATGTCACCAGTCAGCTTGACCAGACTATAACCTTGCAATTTATTGGGATTAGGAATCACTGATTTATACCCTCAGACTTGGGTTGCTTTATTACCTGTGTGCCTCTGGGGTCATGGAGCTTGTATTTTGAATGCTTTTCTTTTGAATGATTCCAGCAAAAATAAAACTGAAAGCAGAAGTGCCCAGCCTCTTAAGGAGCCATGGTTCTGTCCCACCCCAGGATGTGTCCTCGTTTGGTTGAAATTGGGAGCAGAGAATTTCCATTTTCTCCAGCATGGGACTACTTTACATTCTCCTGCAGAGCTATCTATGTGCCACTCAAACTCTCTTCGCAGAAGAAGAGGGCAGTTTTCCTTTTGCAATGGGGGGGAGGACTGCAGGATTAGAGAGAAAGACAGGGAAGGAGGCAGGGAGGGAGCTATGACTCATCCAATAGCATTTTTCACTCATCACAGATGAGTGGACAAGTGCATTTTTTAAGCCCTGATGATACACTTCCAGCTTTTACTTTTGTTTTAACGCTTTCTATTGAATCTGCTATTCACCTTTCTGCTCAGTGTCAAGCATACTTATGCCTAGTTTAACTGCTGTGTATCTGATTTTTACCACCTGCCAATCAAATTCAAAGCAAGTACTGTATTTTCCTAATAAAGTTTACAATGAAACAGTTTATAATAAGGATGCACACCTTCCATAATATGTTTATGCAGAAGCATAACAAAGCAGCCACATCCACTATTGTTCAGGTCACTCGCATGTCTAGCTTACCAAAATCTTCAGGAGATATTCACATAACCTGCAAGGCCAGCTAGTGAGTTGAAATGGTAGTTTAATAGTTCAATACACCTTGACAGAATGTTTTTGTACTGTCTTGTAGTCACAGTCAAGGAACAATGTAGCCACCTTATTGTAAGGAAAAAAATCACAGAGTTCTTTGGAAATCGCCATGTTAATTATGCAAGGATCAGAGTACACCCTGGAAAACAAGCCTAAATGTTTCAAGGTACGGTAATTTACATAAACTTCTCAGTGGGACAAAAACTACTAACAATTTCTGACTTCAC